GTTCCTCGCCTTGCTCCGTAGGCCGCTCTAGTTCAAGGTCGTCGGCCACCTTGGTTTTTCCCTTCAGGGCGGCAACATAACACTTGTGGGACTCAAGATGGTCGTCCCGTGCTACCCCACACCGAAGTCTGTAGGGAACTTCATTGCCAAATAGTATGTGGAGACCACTACCCGCAGGATATGCGTAATTGGCCGCCCTATTATGGCATTGTATGGGGAGGGGGTCGTGACCACCAGGAAATCATGGTTGAGTCTGACCGCACAAGGCCATGTGCCGACTTCCACAAGTATTGTTATTTTTCCGAGGGGCCTGACTTCCTCTCCGCTAAAACCCACTAGAGGAGTGTTTGCGGGCTTCAGCTCGCTCCTTTGTAACTGTAGCTGGTCAAATGTTGACTTGAAGAGGACGTCCGCTGAGCTGCCCGAATCTACGAGTACGCGCCTGACCTCGAAATCGCTGATCCTTAGTTTAATGACAAGCGCGTCATCGTGGGGGTAGTGGACCCCTCGCGCATCGTCTTCCATGAAGAAGATCGGTTCTTCAGTTTTGGTCTTTTTGGGGGGTTCTGTTCCTCGAGGGTTGCTTCGCGAACTGACGTCCGGGCCGTTGCCGAAGTACACCCTGCTACCACCGAACCTCCCACAATCACATGGATGGTTCCCCGAACTGGCCTCTCTTCCGGAGGCTATCGCTGCAACGGTTCGGCTGGTCTGCTACTAGATTCGGGGGCATCCTTTACGTGCTCCCCTTGCCGACCTGCCTTTTTGTTGTTATTATTGTCATGCTGTACAAAATTCCTTAAGTATCCGCGACGGATGAGTCCCTCTATCTCGTCCCGGAGATTATTACACTGTTCGGTACTATGACCGTAGTTTCTATGGAAACTATAGTACAAACTCTTATTTCTCTCGTGTTTAACGGCGTGTAATCCGTCCGAACTACTAGGGGAGCTCGGAACGACTGGTTCGGCTTCGGCTCCCGGGCCGGGTTTTTTCTGTCGACTTGGTTGGAGGGCTCGCCTTCCCTCTTTCTTTTCTCGTTCCTGCTTTCGGTTCGTTGGTTGATTTCTTCCTCTATTCTCATGAACTTATCTGCGAGCTTGAGGAATTCGGCCACGGTTGCGGGTTGGTTAGCTACCATGTGCCATTTGAACTCTTTGTGTGTTACTCCTCTCTTGGCCGCCGCGAGTTGCACCGCGGGGTCTAATCGCGGTATCTGTAAGCATGCTTCATTGAACCGCTTGATGTAGCCCCGGATGGATTCTCCTTCCCTCTGGACTACTCCGAAGATGCTTTCCTCTGTTCTAGGGCACCGCTTGCTGGTGACAAAGTGTGCGGTGATGACCTGCACGAACTGGGCCCAGCATTTTATCGACCCGGGGGCCAGGTTCTTGTACCAAGTGCGAGTGACCCCCCTGAAGGTGGTGGTGAAGGCCACGCACATGCACGATTCACTGGC